AAATAAACAATTTGTGATAATTCGTGTATAAATGAAGTCAATTCGCTTGGCAGGGAGTTTTTGGAAGGCTCTTCTCAAATCATTGACAGTTTACGCGTATTATTAACATCATTAACAATTTTCCCTTATCAATAACATCATTGTATCATTAAAAACACGACCCAATAATTTTAAAATGTCAGCATATGTTATTGTAAACACGGAGTAAACTTTTTAAATGTACAAGACGAGCACCGTGTTGCAGGATCACAACTCACGCCAACTGTCATGCATTGACTGGATAGACTGCGCATATCTGATGTAATTGCGTCCAATTCAGTGCCATAGCAAAGCCGTGACATCCCTCAAGTGCAGGTGCTTTGTGGTGATGTCTTCTGGGTGTGAATGCCTGGCGTCAAGTGCGAGAAGTGGTTAGCTGCGGCCCTGAATAGAGCAGCAGATTTATATAACATGGTGAGCCTTCTCGCCTTATATTAACATAACATAACATAGATCTCGGCGCTGCAGTGTAGGCCTGATGTGGCCTGTCGCCGATTCTTTTCCTTTTCGTGCCTTGTTCACAGAAGATCTAAAATCGGGTCATTTTACCGGATCTTTTCATGACTGACGAAAGTTTGAAATAGCTACTAGACTTCCACCGGGTTCGATATGGTGCTAGGCATTTCAAATCTGAACATATATTTTTCCATAGCTTTATCTAGTCTGTTCTTGAACGCGTTCATACTTGGAGACAAGAAGGTTCATGCTTTGCGGAGTACCGACTGCTGTGTTGCGCCTTTTAGGTTGCAAGAGCTTTTAGAGAAAAAGGGAAATGATCATTGCTTACATTTTTCTACGCATTCGGTGTAGAGTATTTGTTATGGCCGTACTTGAAAAGAACTTGATTCCACTGAATACATTTTGCAAGACATCAAATTCTTCTATAATTGTTTTGCATACTAGATTTCAAATATTAATTATATATTAGTTTTATATATTAAATATTTAAGAAATTCAAGAAGCTATCGACAAAAATCTAAAAACAGATGTATGAAAGACACTAATAATTATCCGTTCCTTTCACGTCATGTTTACTCGGAATTATATCAGCGCGGACGGCCATTCATTCGTATCCTTATAAAGACATGGCGAGACAGCTCATATGAGCAGTAAGCTCGGCTGTATTAATGTCCAGGAAATATACAACGCGTGCAAGCCCCGTAGGTTGAATGAATATGCTATAATGCAGCTGGAGTGGCCGCCGAGATAAGGTTGAGTAACATGGCTCCACCTGACCGGCGTCGCTAAGCCTGTAACCTGAAAAGCTTTTGTCCTCAACCGCAAAGCCGATGCAGCGCTGATTAACCAAATCGAATACTCCGACTTCAGGTAAGGTGTTTTAAAATCCCATTCAAACCAAAAATTAGGATGAATGAATTTATTCGTGTTAAAAAAATAGTCGTCTGGATTTACACACACATATATTTAAATGTACCAGTACATGGTCATTTTTATGAAGTACAAACCAATATTGACTCGATACAGATCGGTATCATATTCTTTACTCTAGCTGCAAAAGATAACCGGAGTTGCACAAACAATGTCATTGTTCCATTAAACTCTTCCTAATACGGCAAGCTGCCTGTCGAGCAGGGTTTGCCTGAGCGCTTCTTCATTTATTAATCAGATCAATCTCAACAAAAACTCATCTCAGGTCCGAATAATAGCGCACTATGCTGCTGCCTCCGGTACAATAGGACCTTCAATTTTATTGTACTTTTGTGACTCAGCAGACTTTGTCTACAAATGCTGTTGATCTAACCATACTGTGGATTATGTAGTTTCTGGGCGGATTTGGAAGTAAATCAAATACCATAGACGGGTCAGCTTTCAGTAATTTCCTGGTATACATTATAACATTTACTCAAAGAAGCAAATTGAAAAACGTTTGACTAAAATATGCCAACAAAAGAAAAGTAAACATAATCAATGTTATATTCAGTGACCTGAGCCCAATGAAGTGCCTGGCTTTAGCGACAGGTAAATATGAGCCCAAGATCAGCTACAGTCCCATTCTGACACCGACAAACTTTCGACAGTAGAAAAAAACTGGCATGGTCAAGAGTGCTCGGTCAGAGCCTGAGCAGAGACTTCAAGATAAAGTTCAGGGAGTACAATGAAGTCACACATGAATTAGAATATTTAATAGGCATTATGCACAAAAGCCTTAAGCTCAATGCAGTGACTTCACGAACTGCAGGGAAGGAAGGGTCCAGAGAAGTTATCCTGTTTGCAAGTATTGCACTCATGCATGGAGCCAACAAAGAATATTGCAGTGACTATAAGGAGAGATCCTTCATCGTAGACTCCTGCTTCTCGGTATAGTTTTTTTCGAAATTGACCGGGATAACAGAACGAAACGAAAAATTATCCAGGGAAAAATAACAAAACGAAGCTTAAAAAACGTCCCAGAATAAAGATAAAAATCGGGAACATAGTTGTGAATAGAGGTGATATAATGAAACGTTACGCGAGAGAAAGATGTAGAGTGAACGATACGAGGCCTTCGATCAGTTGTGGTTCGAGATTGAACGAACATCACAAGTTCTCCAGGAGGCAAATAACGCGAAAATTTAGGAGTCCAAAGTTGAACCCTGGATTAATAAGAGGAGGATATACAAAAAAGCTCACTCGCTGCAAAACCTACTCATGTAAGTGCTTTAGTTTGTGCGTGAGGCAGTTTTTAACTTTAAAAAATGAACATTTCCTCAAAATCGGTGCAAAGATGCATCTAATTAAAACAATGGTATATATAGAATATTCTTCGCGCTAAACCGGACAACAATAACAATAAGTCACGAGGCGCGTGATGGTCCCCTCAAAACGAGTAAAAGGCGACGGTAAAGCCGGAGATTCAGTACTAAGAAATTGTTTAAGCATTTAATTTTTACAACCCGTTTCAGTTATGTGATTCTCCTGAACAATTGGAATTTCCAGTTCACGCCATCTCCAAAATTATCTTCTCTTCTCAATTACAAGCTTAAAATCAATAGACATATCATTCGATTTGTAAAGCGAAGATCCAAGGACTTCAGAAGCATTTTTCTGATTTATTTATATGCTGTATTATATATTGTAAAAAATAAGGACAGCTGAGATTGAATAAAAATAAAAAAATTCTCAACAACTAATAATAATAAACAAATAAACTCGAAATTAGAAAAAAAAGACATTCTAGAGTCGCGAGATATTTGCATTACGAATCGAATGAACTGTTTCTCGATGTTGTTGCCCGTAAATGAAAAAAAGAGATTTTCCTATTTTCAGTTTTTCACATGTCACAATTTCAATTTTTTGAATGATTCATATGATTAAAATGTGCTTGTGCAACATACAGACAACTTTTTGTTCAAACATAAATATATTATTATACTTATCATGTGGTCTTGCTTGAGACGTTCACGTTGAGCGTTGGTGTCGGAATGTCTAAAAAACTCAAGAAGCTACCGCACGCACATAGAGCGCTGCAGCGAGACTGTATCTTCATACACTAATTCTGCCCTGAGTCTTGAAATAGCTACGCATCGACGCCACCTGTCACGAGCGCCCATATTTCCTACTTTCATATCAGTTTTGGTCACCGACCGACAAAATCAGAGATATGAGCTACCAAGGGAGTTGTGTTTTAGCCTTCAAATTTTCGTAAGAGAACTTTGGTAGAGCGCTCGCGTGAGTTGAACTAAGTTTCTTTCTGTTCATGAAGTAACATCTGATAGCGTGTGATATGAATTTCTGATGATAAGAAAAGGCATTCACTATATTGTGTCAATAATTTATGTTCGCAATGCTGAGATAAAATCTCTCATGTAAGTCATATGATCAATTGATGGACTTCCAAGGACAAAAATAAATTCATACCTACTTTTAATCAATAACCAATATATCAATATTCAGTGTGCCCGGAACGTCTCTCGTTTAATCTGTATGATATAAATCATTTCCACACGCTCAAGGCTGCTCAAACTTATGCTCCAACACTGAAAACACTCATCGGTCATAAGTGGTGCATGATTGCTTGTTTTTATAACAAAATATTAGACTCGGGCATTTTGGCAGCAACTCGCGATGCCACAGTCGGTGCCAGTGCAGTGCGTGTCAGGCTTGTGACGACGCACCAAGGCGAGCTGTGCAACGCACCTTATTTTATTAGTGTTTGCCTCTGTTGAAGAAATGAACAAATTTGGAATGTTATAAGAAATATTATACTACATTAGATTGCAACTCATGCTTGGTGAATGAAAATTAGTGTATGGTAATATCTACTTAAACAGTTTTGTATATGACGAAAACCCGTCTAAATTTCTCGATTTTCACTAATTAGTGAAATTTGATTGGTTCAGCCGAAAAAATTAACTATTTTCATGCACCTAAGTTTTTGCATGTGAGAAGAAAACTTCATTGCTATAAATACTCATTACTGATCAAGAAATTTCATAATTAATACGTAATTAAAAGTTTGTAATTTCAAATGCTATTCGTATCAGTTATATTAACAAATAATTTCATGTTCGTGCGAACTATCGCTATCCTAATATTACGGTAACTGCGGAAGTTCACTCAGACGTTTCATGCGTGTATTATTTCTTCTGAGTACTTGAAATTTGGCAGCCATTTTACTTTACCTGGAATGAACCTACTTTGATAATTGTTACCTACTTGGAATATTATTCACAAGTCAAAACACTTTTTTGCGTGCCATTAATGAATTTTTATGGCAGGTAAAATAACAATTTGATGCTCAAATAATAAATATAATAAATATTTTGAAGCTTCCAGTGTCTGGCGCTCAATCCTTGAGAATGAGATTTAACTTAAAAAACAAATTTTGAATAAATTCACATTATTCAGGGTGATACGAGCCTAGCTGGTGAATACATAAATGCTTAGTAATAGATTAACGATTTTCATACTATTTTTGTTTGTTAATTGAAATGATATTAAAAGTTTCTAATCATTTCTAAAGGATATATTAGATATATCATATATAGTATTCGCGACCCTTTTTTATTGGATCTGCCATACCTTTCTCAGTTTGCAATGAACATTTCCTTTGAGATGACGTGTCAGAATTAATTATTTAAAAGAAAGTGATGGATGTGTACAGTGACCCCGAGAAGCATGTCTTGCTGAAGAACAACGTCAAGATGCCAATACTGGGCTTGGGTAAGAAGCATATTGTCGCAAGGGATAAATCGTTAAAAGTTATTGGAATTTATCAGCTCGAACGTAGGCGTATCGGAGCAATTATTACTCATAATTATTTACCCTTATGCTAACTATCTGCTTTTAAACAAATCATTTTTGTACTTAATAAAATAGTTAAAATTCAAATTACAAGTTTATTCGTATTGTTGCATAGGTAAAGTAACCAATATCTTTTCTATGAAAGATTAGCAAGCCTTACAACTAAGCGTACCCACCTAGAAATATTGATTGTTTTATCACTGAAATTAAGTAACACACCTTCACAATAATGACGTGCATTAAACATGTAATAAATATAATTAGTTCTCTGAGTGCTGTACATGACGCAGGCACCTCGCACTACGGCGGGTTCTCAGGCGCCGCGGTGCAGCACGCCGTCCGCAGCTGCGGATGTCGCCACATCGACACCGCTAAGCGCTACGGCGTCGAGGCCGCCATTGCCGACGCTGTGCAGGCAGGGACACACTTACAAATTAAATGGGTGCTAGATTGTTTAGATAGAAACCTCTACAAGCAAGGACAGGGAAAGTCGCTGTAGTGTCTGAGGAACATTGCTGGGAAATAAGACACTTGGGTTCAGTACTGGGCAGGGTGGCCCAGTGGGTACAGTTAGTACCAGAGATTGTCGCAGAGAGGCGCGGGTTCGATCGCAGTTCCGTGCGCCAGTTTCTGGTCAGAATCGGCAGGGAGGCCTGGCGGTTAAGCACAACAGAATTGGAGCAATGAGTTGTGTTCGAGACCGCAACAAGCTGTGAATGTTCTGTGATGTTAAGAATCGGCGACAGGCATACGGCCTAATAAACGCTGAAACCGCTACTATTATATTATAAATCAACATTGCCCATGTCGTTGATGGTTATTAATATTTCTAACATTATCTAAACTTAGTGTAGCAAAAGGTTTAGTTAATTGATAGGGCGAGTGTTGGTATAGGCATCTGTATTATGAAATATAGCATCTCTGGATGGCATGATAGAATTTGCGACAAACAATGACGATTCTTCAAAGAATTGGAATACAAAAATTATTTTAAATACTTTGAATAAATATACTAATAAAACTTTAATACGTACAGATAAAAATTTCAACCACATTGCTTGTTGTATCCTTAGTCTAAAATGATGAAATTACACGAAGAAAAAATACTGCCGAATCTGTTGCATTAAATGCCGCTGCTCCCGAGCAGGCGTCTGGAGTGCCCCGGGAAGAAGTGTTCTTAGCCACCAAGTGCTGGCCCAGCGACTACGGGAAGACCTCCACCCGCGCCGCCTTCAGGGGCTCCTGTGACAGGTTCCGCTCCGACTACATAGGTCAGGGGGCCGTACTGTCATAAGTCGCTCAAGTACACGTAGCAGCCTAAGTACACGTAGCGGCCAAAGTACACGTAGCCGCAAAAGTACACGTAGCCGCCCAAGCACTCGTAGCGGCCAGAGCACAAATGGCGCTCTAAGTAAGCGTAGCGGGATAGATGCACTTAGCGGGATAGGAACTCGTAGAGGGCTAGGTACACGTAGCGATCTGAGTACACGTATAGCGGCCCAAATACACGTAACGGTCAAAGTACACGTAGCCGCTCAAGTATACACGTAGCAGCCCAATTACACGTAGCTGCCCAAGTACTCATAGCAGCCCTAGTACACTTAGCCGCTCAAGTACAAATGGAGGGCTAAGTAAGCGTAGCGGGATAGATGCACTTGAGGGATAGGAACTCGTAGAGGGCTAGGTACTTGTAGCGATCTGAGTACACGTAGCGGCCCGAGTACAGGTAGCAGCGATTCTTTTGTAATTGCCGAGTACGGTGTAGAATTTCCAGTACAGAATCCTAAAGATGGTCATTATTCTCACACAACTAAACAATGATATTCTTGTGTTTACGTGAAAATACTAATAAAAAGAGCGTCAATTACAATCTCAACAATAAATTTAATATTTATGATATCGGTTGGTACAGGAAATACTGCTCATAGAGAATCTAACTTCGCTTATCAGTAAAGATTAACGCATTAAGAGAATATACAGGCTATAATATAATTGCGCAACAATCGGTGAAACTCTAACTAAGCGCGCGCTTCAAATTTATTGTATTGCTATATTCATTGCGCTTCCTTTTTAGCGCATTTTCTCATTTATGGAAAAAATGCTCTATTGTGCTCGTCATGTCCGACCGACCGTCTGTCTGTCCGTCCGTCCGTGACTTCACGTTTTCTTCAACGAGAAAATGCGCGCTGTCACTCACTGCAGTGAGTACTGAGTTATANATAATAAAGTGTAAGTTGAAGTGCAAACCTACTAAATTACGTCCAACTATTTCCTTGGGGAGGATATATAGCCATATCGTCGGAAACTTTTACAGTGTCGCGACAATAGGCATTGATTTCAATAAATAATTTTCATATAGAATTAATTTTTAACCGATATATTTTCAGATATGTACCTCTTGCACTGGCCTTTGGTACCGTCTTGGTGCACCGACAGCAAGCAGCTTCTTAGTGAGACTTGGCGGACGCTTGAGGTAAATGTGAAATGTATTAATAATATTGTTGTATAAATGTTTAAATCAGTACAATTAGCGTATGAAGAAATAGTATTGCACCAAGATGACATCTAAATCGTGTATCTTAAGCGACGATTGATATGTTTACTCTAACTTTGTTTCTCCTGCGAATCTCAAAATTTTAGACCATTTGAAAAATTATCCGTACTGTATTCCGTGACAGAAAAATACATTTAATCTAACGGGGAAAAAACAAGTACTAAAAATTTAATTTAATAACTGTTTAATCGAAGACGCGTAATACTAGTGTTTGATTATTAAAATTTAATAGTAAAAAATAAATGACGGCAGCTGTTATACGACGAGGAGCGCGTGCGGTGCATCGGCGTGAGCAACTTCGACGAGTCGGACTTGCTGGAACTGCTGTCAGACCCCGAGCTCAGTACAACACCTCACATAAACCAGTGCGAGTTCCATCCCTTCCACAACCCCATCAGGATAAGAGACTTTTGCTCACAACATCACATCCAGTTTGAGGTGAGCTTTCTTCATTAACGTCTTGCTCGGCTCCGATGACAGAATCGTTTCACGAAAGATTATAACTTTATAGAATAGAATAGAATAGAAGTGTCGGCGTTGAAGAAATAGGCCCATGGCCTGTTGCCGATTCTTGAACTTTTCGTGACTTGATTCACAAGGGATCCGGCCTTTGGAACCCGATCTTTCTATAACTGACGATTGATTGAGACAGCTGCTGGACTTATTGCCTGATAAGGTATATCCCTAGATAGGATTGTAAGGTTGTTTTACTTATATTTAGGTATTTCTAGATTCTTTTACTTTTAGATTTTCCTGAGTTCGATTATAAATGGATATGCATTTGTTATAAACGGAGCAGCTGGGTCCGAAAATGTCTGACTCAAAGTGAGCACGATTTTGGGATTTCTGATTCAAATATTTAAAAAAAAAATTTCGATTTGATATTTAGCTCGGATAAATCAACAACTACAAGAAATGTATTTCGACGCATTTTCTACAACCATTAATGTGAACAAATGTTGTTGAAACCACAATTAATAGCGCTCACGTAGAAACATAACTTTATTTTACAGGGCTACTGTCCACTGGGCAAAGGTAAGATATTGGACGACCCTGTGCTGGTCGAGATGGCTAAAGTCTACCGCAAGTCTGTATCACAGATACTGATCAGGTGGAACATTCAGCAGCGCGTCGTTTGTATACCAAAGTCTACCAAGCCAGAGAGAGTCGAGATCAACTCACAGGTTGGAATGAAGGTTGTTTGAGTTTGGATTTTTTGCTTAGATTAAGTGGTTAGGTTGAAACTGTGATAGTCGAGTTTGAAATCAATCGTTTAAGGCTTGGTCCAAAGTTTCAAGAGTACATACAGGGTGAACCAGAATTAACTGACCCTTTTAATTTGTTAATAAATGAAAAACTAAGAAAGTTATGAAGTTGAAACTTGTTTTATTTAAAAGAAGAACATTTTTATGGTAATATTGTATCCTAGTTTTTAGGATACAATATTATGTACAAGATTTTAACTAATACATATTATTAATACATAATAAATATTTTAACTAATACAATAATAAAATATTGTAATAGGATACAATATTTTAACTAGGATACAATATTACCATAAAAATGTTCTTCTTTTAAATAAAACAAGTTTCAACTTCATAACGTTCTTAGTTTTATATTTATTAACAAAGTAAAAGGGTCAGTTAATTCTGGTTCACCCTGTATAACTTAATTATTATGTTTATTTGTAGGTGTTCGACTTCAGTTTGTCAGAGGAGGATATGGCAAAACTTTCCAGTCTTCCACAAACGCTGACAATTTTCGACAGGCAAGAAATACAGAGCAGAGTGGACAACCCTCTACCTGACGGCTACAGACTACATTATGGCTCGTCTTTAAATAACGGAACATAATAAATTTATCCAATATAATAAATACATGCTAAGTTTACCTACAATCATGATCATGATTATCCTTCAGTGATAATAATCATTACCTAGGCGAAACAATATCTGTAAAAATTGATAATTCTTTAAGGTATGGTTCACAGGTGCGAGACTCACGAACAAAATATTGTGTTAATATGTTCTTGTCGTTCATGGATTTAGCACCAGTCAGCTATCGAGCAGCATACGAGGACGAATATCATAATGAGCAAAAAATTGCAAGATTACTGAAAATCTGTGAACAGTATAATACAATATTCATTTAAATAATTAACAAATCCTAAATCATCATTGCGCTGGAGTTGACGGTTAATTGAAGATAGCAAAATTACCTATAACAATAATTAAGCACTGACAAAATAGACTTTATGTGCAACATGCGTCGTCTATACAGGATCATTGAGTTAGCAAAACACAATTGTAGGTTGACTGAAGACCACAACTTTACATACAACAATAATACCTCAGTGACAAAATAGACTTAATGTGCAACATGCGTCGTCTATACAGGATCATTGAGTTAGCAAAACACAATTGTAGGTTCACTGAAGACCACAACTTTACATACAACAATAATACCTCAGTGACAAAATAGACTTTGTGACTCGGGCCTATTTTTATATGCAACATGCGTCGTCTATACAGGATCATTGAGTTAGTAAAACACGATAAAGCTTGACTGTAGACAACAACAGTACCTACAACAATAATACCTCACAGACAAAATACAGTGCATACGTAAATCTATAGAAGATCATTGAGTTGATCAAGTAGTGCAGCAGGAGGCTCAGCCAGTGACTCGAAGGTGTCGAGGTGCCCGACGTGGTGGTCGTCGAGGAGCGCGAGGAGGGCGTCTCGCAGCCTCTGCACGTCGTACTCTGTGTGGCGTCTGCCCTGACGATGGCCGTCCAGCACCGTCAGGTCACTGCCCGCTGGATGCGGCATCAAGAGGGGGCTTTAGGCACGGGGCAGTTGTGACATCAAGCAATAGGTGCTAAATTGACCAACCATCCAATCAAGGACTGAGAATACAACTATCCAATCAAAGACCAAGAGGACATCCATACACTCAAAGACTAAGAGGACATCAATCCAATCAAAGACTGAGACTACAACCATACACTCAAAGACTAAGAGGACATCCATCCAATCAAAGACTGAGACTACAACCATCCACTCAAAGACTAAGAGGACATCCATCCAATCAAAGACTGAGACTACACCAATCCAATCAAAGACTAAGAGTACATCCATCCAATCAACGACAGAGACTACAATCATCCAATCAAAGACTAAGAGCACATCCATCCAATCAAAGACTAAGAGGACATCTATCCAATCAAAGACTAAGACTACAACCATCCACTCAGAAACTAAGAGTACATCCATCCAATGAAAGAGTAAAACTACAACCATCCAATCAAAGACAAATGCTAGAACCATTCAAAACAATAAAAATACAGGGAATGGTGTGTATAGTTTCCCTATATAAAGTACATCAATGTCGACACTTCATTTTCGATGGTGTGGATGTAGTCTGGGCAATGAGTAACCATCAACGCAATTAAATTTTTCATGTAGAGGTCTGTGACCCAACAGCTGCAACACGAGAATTACTTACATAAACTGACAGTAGAGCAGGCGCAAGGTGTTCTTTAAAGAGAATTGCGTTATTGATGTTGAACGCTTTACTGAGGCGCAACGTGTCATTGAAAATTTTAGTTTAGAGTTCGTTAATACGGAAATAAATATAATTAGCGGTAAGAGACAAGGGCAATTACTCCATGAAAAGAAACAGGTTGGAACTTCACTACTGCGCAGTTATCAACTTTTGAGATACTCCAGTCTATATTTAGTTATTGCTTGGATTTCAAGGGAAAATTTGTCATTGTTAATTTTAAAGGGATATTTTTATAAGTACTCTCAGGAACTCAAACGTTCGCTGCAGTCAAACGAGATGACACAACGTCTCTGATATGTTCCTTCTATTCCCATTGTGTCAATATTCAATATATTCAAACATAATTGGGTTAGCTCTAGTTACTCAAGATCACACGAAGTGAGCGTAATAAGTTTAATTCGCTATTGGTCATAGGAATTAAGAAGTTCGGAAATTCTACTCTGCACGCCAAAACGCATAAAAATAAACTTACATCGTAGAGACTCTATCCTGGGCTTGGCGATCGCTCTAAGGAAATGATAATACTCGATGAAATCCATGCCATGAGATGCTTTCAGCACCAGCTGACACTGGTCTTCCCATTTCTCCATGCTCCGGCAGTCAGAAATGGCGTCTTCTACCTGCAATGAGAATGGATTTAAATAATTTGTACTAAATTTCGGACGTACGCGATCTGTTAAATACTGTAGTTAACGATCATGAGGGAAAAATAAAGAACGATGATGAGGAAATATACTGCATCTAAAGAACGAATATGTGGGAAATATACTACAGCAATCACATGTTTATTCTGAACAAAATCGCTTGGTTTGTTGTTGCTCTGACGGTGGCTTTGCTTTTCATCATCAATCGTGATATGTACTCATTACTGAAACTCTTTTAAGAGATAAGGTAACATTGTACTAACATAATAACATGGCAAAAAAATTCGTCTGTTGATCATTTTCAGGGTATAAGATGAAAAATCTGTCGGAAATGAATTTCTTCACAGTCTTATCGAAACTATTATAAAATTTAAGGTTACGAATAAAATTATTAAATTTAAAAACGAAAACCATATGAAAACAATGCAGGAGAAAATTAAATTCAAAATGATACTAAGACATCATATTGGTCCTTTAATGGTGACGTAGCCAAATTCATAACATGGACATTATCATTCGTTTTTGCCCTGCCCTGAAAATTAGGAGAAATAAACACAATTTCGTTAACTTTCAACCATTTCATACTAAGATTCGGTATAACAAATAGATAATAAATTATATAGTTTGGTAAATGTTGTAAATTATGCAGTTAAGCCAGCTCTAAAATCTCCTGTCCATTTTTAAACAAAACGTTGAACTCCTCCGTTTTTAGGAAGAGGGCTGTTTAAGAAGTGTGAATTGAGTTATGAACTTACTTATGAACACTACACGTTCATAAGTAAGCGATGTCACAGCAAACTTTCAAAAAATTACGTTTCAAAAAATTGAAAAACGACAATTTACACAGAAAGTATCATTGAACAGCAAACAATTAAATTGAGAACAAATTTCAATTCTAATTTAATGCTTCAGAGGGTTTTCATACGCATGTAAGATACGTAGCAGTCCCTCTGGCGGGAAAGCGAATAAGTAGACGGAGGGCGTCGCGCGATTCCTCGGAGCTCTCAAAATTGGAATTCTTCCATAAATGTGAGTCATATCCATTTTTATTCATAACAGAAAACAAACTAAGAACGAGCAATGTTTCTAATAACGTATGGAATTATTTATATCGAAACCAAATCTGAAAAACATTTCAAATCCGGAATATCATGAGAGAGGAATATTTCCGTTGGCCAAAATGGCGTGTTTTTCAACTACTACGTACGGAAATTGTAATTCGGATGAAAACGAATTTTTTTGTTGTGAATGATGTAAGCCTTGTAAGGGATTTTTGTTTTGTATTTCTTTACAATAAAAGTAACATGATGCTACTTGAAGCCAGATTGTTTTGTCGAATTCATCATTAGCTACTAGTCTACTACTAGCTAGGCGTCGAACACGAACAGCATATACCTACAAATGATATAGCTAATTAATATGGTAGGCCTAAAATGATATAGCTAATGCTATGGAGGTGGAGGCAACACCGCATTTACCGCAACAGTACTGACTGTACTGTCAGTCTGTCAGTACACAGTACATAATAAATGAATGAAGATGATTATCTTCTAGCAGTCTAGCACTCTAGCTAGCTACTGGGTGTTTAAAACTTGAGGGGCTTGGATGTGCAGACTGCAGAGTGTAATTGTAAAGTTTTGCTCTGGATATCTTTTTTTTTGTTCAGTAGGTATTGTGTTTGTGTGGTTGCTGAATCAGAGTGGAAATCTAAGATTAGAGGTTCACTTAAAAAAAAGCGTTCCGCCTTGAAAAAAAAAACGTTCCAGGCAAGTGGCAACTAGAAACAGGTTTGCAGGTCGTCAGAAATCGGCCTCGGCATGAACGTTACATCAGGCAACACAGAGAAAATCCCAATATTGTTAATTGTGCGTGTCACTCACGGCTAAGCAAGAGGAATCTACTGAAAGACACGTTGTGCTCAGTAGAACACGTTGTGCTCAGTAGAAGTTACAAGGTCGCTACTGACACCAGTTGAAACTCATCACTCACAGTCACCGATGCGCAAGGAAGATCTTGGGAAGGCTGCTTAAGCTTTGCGCCCCACATGAACGTTTCCGAGGTCGCCGGTAGAGACGCGTCACTCTCCGGTGAGCAAATGATATCTTGAGGAGGCCTCACAACGTTGCAGCCGGTAAAGGATGTACTCTTGATTCTGAAAAAAGTTCCATTAGATCTTGCCGATATACTTGAATGCAAAAGTCGCCTATATACGAGTTGATTAAAGAGCACTTGATGTATTAGTTGTTCAGAGTTTGACCAGTTGATTCAGAGCACACCAAATTATTTTCATTTACGTCATAATTAATTTACTCCTTAATTTTTTTCATTATTTCTTAAAATCATACCTGAAACTGATTTGGAAGATATGCTAGCATCCGACTCCCAACCAGCTCAAACGAACGCGGATTCGATTGCATGCAATCTATTCCTTTGTATCATATTAGTTAAACTGCACATGAAGAAAAAAATTGTCAAAATTGGCATTGTTGCATTTTATGTAGAAAAATAAACGTGATCATTGAACATAAAAATTTTTGAATTCAAAGATTGTATCGAAACATCATATAATAATTAGTGGAAGGGCTGACTATCAGAACATTAGGTACATTAAAAAGCTAATTCTTTCATTTTATGCGATCCTCCTTAGCAAATATGGTAAACAATGCTAAACACGAATGCATATTACTTGAATTAAATAATGACTGCCGTTAGTGAGTAATGAATGGCAAAAAGAGTCTCGCCAGTCGCCACTCTCCTTAGTCCTTACTACTCACTCAGAGTAAACTAACAGCTCATCGGCAAGAACTAAATAGGCTAGCTATGGCTTATAGTACTATTTACTCATGACATAATGAATATAAAAAACATTTATTGCACCTATTCGTTACGTCAGCTTTCAAAATGAGGATAAACTCATCGGCAATCGAAGAAAGTTCAAGAATCTTATCGAAGAAGAAGCATTGCACATCACACTTGACTGACTAGACAGACTACCGGTAGCGTACTTGAAAAATTTAGCATTCAAAACTTTAGATTCTGTGAACCTCGTAATTTATACATTATTAGAACTTTAGACGGCTCACAATATATCGTGTAAAATTTTCACTCAATAATAGTCTCGATTGATAATAATATTATCAATAATAGCACACGATTGATACTGCATGCAATGCATGTATAACAATTACGACCGTTATTAAACCATTCTGTTGAATGTCAATTACTAAAAATTTACAATATAGAAGAATTGAAATATTTCTTTTCTTCACGGAGTATATTGATATCATATTGTTGGTATCTCTGTCACGTGTCACCTTCTATGTTATTGTTTCGGTACAGATGGTACTCCTGAATCCTGATCGCAAGTAGTTTTCAGGTCTCGATGCTGAAAACTATCATCAGTTTTTTATTTGTCGATGAATTCATAGGCAGTTTTTTATGTATTTGTGAGTGAATATACAAAGTAAAGATGTTATTCTTTTAGATTTTCATCAATATTGACATAACTACATTATTTTTCTAGGCGCTTGAAATAAGAAATGTAGCATTAC